TAAAGCCAGTGGCGCCATGTCGTCCATATCGATACGGACTATGGGAAGCGCGCCCCGCCCCTCTCCTGCGCAATCCGTCCGCATTCTCTTCTTTTTCTCTGCCTTTCTCTCCCGCTGCTCTTCACACGCCATCATCATGACGGCGCGGCCGGCCCACCCCCTCAGTGCTCGTCGTGCGGAGCGGACCGGGGCGGACCGGAGGGCACTGCCTGCCAAATTGCGAACCCGCCCGCCGCCCTTACCCCTTCCTTCCCCTCATCAAGGCAGCAGCTGAAGCGCCCCATCTCTCTTCATCGTCAGCCGCGCGCCCCGGACGTACTACCCCGCGCCTCTGCTGTCCCTCTCCTAGCCCCCCCTTTCCCCTCCTCCCACTCTTGTGGAGTCTTGGAGGGGAAATCTTCATCACGTCGCCAGTACATGGTGCAGGCAGGAGGGCCCCACGGGTCCACCCCGCGGGGGCCCCGCGCCTGCTCTCCGGCTGTGAATGAGCGACCGAGAGAGCCACTCTTCTTTTGCTCTTCTCTCTTTCTTTCTTTACGTTTTGCGAGTCCAGCTTGGTAATGTCCTCCCATCGATTTTTCACCTGCTTTGTACTTCTGCCTGCTTCGCCCGTGAAGAGGCAAGATATATGCCGGTGGGGCTTTGTGGTGGTATAATCTGGTGTGCTTTTCCCGTTCTTTCCTTTCCCCCTTTCTTTAAAAACACACCTTAAGAACGATTGCTTAGAACTACTCACTTCCACTTGGAAACCAAGCCGAGCGTGCCTATTTTTCCAAGCAGTGATGGTTATTTCCAAGCCTTCCTCAAAGCCTTCTCTGTTACAAAGCTCTTCCAATTTTTGTCATTTCTTGCGAACCGTTCTCTGAATGTGACTAATAACTGTGGGCGCTCCCTTCTGCTTGCAGGTGACGACGGTGACCAAGGTGGTGCGTGAGGTCCACGCTGTAGGTCCGGACGGCCAGCCCGTGGACTATGTGCCGATGCCTGCCGGGTACGCTTACCACATGGCGGGCCAGGAGCCCTACCCCACGGCCGACGCGGGTAAGTCTGTGTGTCCGTCGACCCACCAGGCGATTTTGCCCTAAGGGGGAGGATCTGCCATTCCAGAGAGAAATCATTCCATAAGGGATGATCCTTGCTTGGGTGATCTTGACCAAAGATGTGACCCTGTCTGTGGTGATCATTTCTTAGTGGATGATAATCTCTACGGTGGGCTCTTCCAAGGGGATAATCCGCTGGTCCTGGTGGGCTCACAAGTCAACTAGCAAAGGTAGCTGTAGCACAGACACCGAGTCTGGGTCATTTTGGTAGACAAGTAGCCAGCCGCCACAAATTTTTATTACTCTTATTTGTTTTAATTTTGGATTAATTTGTGTTTAATTAATTTTATCTGTTTAATTTTCGTTATTTCTTTTTATTATTTTCCGACATGTACCCTACCCACCCCTACCTCTGCTGCTGAAAGCAGCAGTAGGGTCTGCCCCTTACCCATTTTCCCGTTTTCTTCTCTCTCCTACCTCTCTCTTCCTTTTTTTATAATTTTTTTCTACTTTTTTTTTCTTTTAGCGCGGCACGACCCGTACCGCCCGTCGTACGCGGACTATGAGCATTACCCGGCCTACGGCAATACCCAGTACAGCGGGTCGGGCTCTTACCCGGCCTATAGTGACGCTGGCAACTATGCAGAGCAGCCCCCTTACCAGGGGCTGGGCCTCGGCGACCGCCCCCCGACTCCACCC